GGGCGCTACAAACACAACAAACACGATTTTTGGTATGTGAGCTACAGGCACCAGTCTACACGTGTCCTGTGAATTTCATATTCATAACTATTACGGTCTCCGCACAGTGATTTACACTGCCACCAGAGTGCCACCTAGTGACGTGATGTTTTTTCCCTTTTATAATGAGCCTCAGGGAGCCATGGGCAATTATCCTACCAAGTTTCATTTTAATCACACTTGCCATTGCGGAGATATAAACTTCTTCATTTCAAAGAGCGCCACCTTGTGGTGATGACCTGAAATTGTGTACGATACATAATGAAGACATAATAAACTATTGACCCAAGTTTGGTGTCAATCGGACGTACCACTGTGGAGAAATGCCCCGCTTCCTTTTTTGACGAAAAAGTGCTAACAACTTGCTTATTTTTTGAAATATCAAAATACTTTACATTTTTGTCAGGACGGTCTCCAGATGCTACGTGCAAAATTGTGTGCAAATCGGACCAAAAGCGCATGGATGGAGCACGAACACATAGCGGAAAAAAAATCTAGGCGGAAGTGGGCGTGGCCTATATAGGGAGGTTCAGCTTCATTCACCGAATGCGTGGATATAAGGTTTTTTGAATGTGAGACAAAGTATGTAGTAGTTATTAGCCTAAACACATTTTTATGACGTGCATGTCCTCATCCCCACCCTCCTTTATCTACAGATCTTTGTGGCCTAACGACATCTTTGGCAACGAGACAGACAACGCAGTCCAGACCCTGCTGCACATCTACTTCCGTCACCAGACGCTGGGCCAGACGGGCTGCTTGGCGGTAGTGGGCCCCAGCAGGGACCTGTCTCAGGCTAGCACCCGCCTCATGGAGCTCAACCTGCAGATCCGTGAGGCTCTGAGTCAGGCGCAGGCCTGCCAGCCCCACACCACCATGGTCAGCACTGGACTGTGAACCCGTGGTACAACAGGCTGCAAGCCTGGACTCAACAGGACAAAAATACCCCCCCCCCTGCTCTATACAGACCTCACCTCAGCTGTAGAGAGAGGGTAGACAGTGAGGGGTTACAGAGGAGGACGAGAGAGACTCCACCTATAAAGGGCTAAAGGATGTGTGGGAATAACTGTGACTCTTAATATATATTATTACTTGTATGAATGCTTAAAGCTAACATCTTTTCCCAGACTAAGCCAACTTGCAAAATTCAGTTGCAATAAGTCATGTGGTGGTGTGCCTGGGAGAGAACAAGAGAGGACGCAGTGGGATGATAACTTTTTTTCTCTTTTCTTTTGTTTTTGTTTTGTTTTCATTTTTGCTGGATCTGACCTGATGGGTCTATCGTACAGACCATTGGCCTCAGGGCCTGGGCTGGAAGGTGGTATTGAAGCATGTAAGACAGTCCGGAGGAGGTGTCGTATGTGTGAGGACACACCGTCAAGATTCATAAGCAAACACCGAAAAATCTTGTTTAAAAAAAAAAAAAAAAAAAGTTTTCAAAAGCATGCTTGAAAGAGAAAAGCACTGCAAGAATATTTTTTGAGAAATGTATTTTTTATTAGAGCTAACATCCTAGGTTGTAAATGTTAGGATATTTAACATGTAATTGTAACCCTGTGGGAAATGTTTGCCTTCAGGGAGTGTAAAAAGAGAAATATATCTGTTTATTGATCTGCTTTGAGAGGAGAGTCCCCTTCAACAGGTCTTCACGCAAAACTCACTCTTTAACCAAATAAGTAGCTGCCTTTAGAGACTCTTGACTGTGTGATATATATTGGATATTCTGGTATACGCTCACACACAAATGCATATAATTGCACACAAGTGCAGACTGGCTACAGCTCATTATGGAAACATAACTTATTTTACTCTGTATATATTTTAGAAAATGTATAGTGTAAAACCAGTATTTTTCCCTTGTACTTTTGTGTAATGCACTGTTCATCCAAATAGGATGTATGTATAAAGCTAATGTGATGAGAGAAAGCCAAGACCAGATTTGTCATGAATGATCTGCTCCACTTGTCATCCAATCACACAAACTTCAAATCTTCCCAAAGGCTGCCTTGGTTTGTTTGTTGTGGTCTTGCAAAAGGGGGGGTGTCAGGCCTCATTTTGGGACAAGCCACCTGTCTGCCTTTGTGACGGCGTTGGCATAGGAGATCTAATGTCGCCTCTGTCTCCTGTTGGACCACACAGATCCAGCCAAGTCATATGCATTCCTTCTCTCCACTGTGATCTTTCATTAGCACGTCACCCCCAGCATAAGCGCCGCTTAAAGCCTCATGAAGGGGAGACTGAGGTTTGTGTTTGTCCGTGTAGGTTGATCACGTTGCAAAGAGGGGAAATGGCTGTGCTAGGCTTTCAGAATGGCCCTACTTGCTGCTGTGACTGCAGGACATGAACCGTTATCTGAATGCTTTCTGGAAATCTTGTCATGGCACATTGTAACAGTCACTGTACTCATTCCTCAGAGAGCTTTTTTTCCCCTGCTTGTCTGGTACATTTGAATGCTGTTCTTAATTATTTAATGAATATATTATTTACCTGGAGGATGTTTTAATGTAGGGGTGAATTGTATTTTCCCCCCCCCCCCTTCCCCCTGTTCACTCACATACCAGCCTTCTCTCTGGATAAATAAAAACCTAATCATACAGTAAGCTCTTTGTCCTGTGTTTTCTTATGGAAGTTTGGCAGTATGGAGTATTACAAGCAGTATACTAAGAGTTAATGACTTCAATTCAGAGTACGACTGAATTAGGGGAATCAAGTATTTAGACCTTCAGAAATATGAAGTCTGTTGTCAGTCTGTAGTTCTTTGGACTTACAAAGTCTCAATTCTGTCAATCCTGAAGGCAGTTGCAAAGCTAAATGGGGCAACGTCATACAGGTTCATTTGGACTTGTAGTTATTTGAAGCATTCATTATTTTAGTTTTCCTTCCATTTCTACTACGGACACAACCTCCATACACAGTGGCTCAAGTGAAAAGGCTTCTGAACAGAGTGCAAGGTAGTCATTTATTACATTGTAAAGTGTGGTCCTTACCATTAATTTCATCAACACAAAACAGGCATTAAACTAAGATTTGAAACATCAAATATACATTTGGTATCCAAGATGCCATTATTGCATCTGCAAATATAGTGGCACAGGGTTGAAGATGCCCCACAAAAAGGACATGTACTGATGTTTTTCGGGGCAAAGTTCAGTAGAGAAGCCTCCTAGACGATGTATTTGAAGCTGAAAGTGCTCTCGCAGGAGAGTCGCTTGCCTTTGCATCTGCCGCATAAGTCCTGTCTGTGGGGCCGCTTGGGGTCAACATGGCGTTGTGTTGTTGCACAGGAACAACGCGCTTTGTTGCATGTCTGCAAAGAAAACGGATGCGTTAGTCATGACACATGGGTGATTAGAATTGACACAGCAGGTTAGAAAAGGGCTTACGTGGCATGTGATGTCCTCAACACGGTATGGGTTGAAGTCCTTTTGGCATTTCCTACAGTACTGTTTGAAGTAAACCTGGAACACACCATACTTCTATTAGGGCGGGCGTCTCATACTGCAGTTAAGCCATGGACCAAATTATATACACATCATGGTCACCAATACAATACAGTCTTATAGCAGAACCACATCTGAAAACTAGAGACGATTAGGTACAAAGGATTCTACTAGAGTCATCAGGAGTCATTGCTGTAAAAGTCACTGTTCTAGCTGTCCAGGCTTCAGAGAATGGAGCAGTTAATGCTTCATATTGCCAACCACTGATTTAATGCAGTTATTGGCAAACTACTTTACTGTATGTTGTTTGCCTCACACAGAAAAATAAGTGCTCACCTTGTTGGTGCCTTGAACACACCAAACGTAGGCGCTCTCCCATCGCAGGTTGCATTCTCTGCAGTGATAATATCCGTACTTCTGTTCCAGAAACTGGTGGATAAACGGCAAGTCAGTGAGTCTGTTCACTCTCCCTTCAACCCTTCTATATTAATGGATCAATCCAACGGTTTAAACTTCATCTTTACTGTCTTGCATCAAGTCATTTCAGTGAGGTTTATCTTTACGGTCCCCACACCAAGCTTACAGCCAGATGTTGACCAGTTGGCTGATCACTGATCTGATGAGACGTTGCCTGGATTTATCATCCAACAGGTTTTAATTTGAGTTATTCTGCACAGTAAAGTGAAAATACAGATGTAAAATAAAGCATCAAGACTGGACTTTGATATCAGGAGACACTGAGTGGAGTTAACAGTGAATGTAGTGAGGCATGACATTATCCAATTAGAGTTATACCAAAGTGAGTTTATTTGAAGACAAGATTTATGTATCTGAGTCAGGAGTCTCAGAAACAGCTCCTGAGTCCAAGAGAAACTGCTGGAAAAAGGCCATCCTTAGGTTACTCTACTTTCTGGGGGACTATGATTTGTAGCTTGTTGCTTTTGTTTTCTCTTGAGATGTTTAACTTTTGTTTTGATTTTGTAAGAAATATTTCAGCAACTGAGACTGTATAATGCCCATGCTGTTGAAGTTATGGCACTTAGCATAACACCTAACGCAACCAATTAATAGTGTGTGCAACAAATGGAGTCCATTTCCGTCCAGCCTAAAGTCAGGGACCCCCTGAGCACGTGATGTGACTCACCTGAAACCGCACGCGCGCCCTGCTCTTCGCCCCCTCCGTGGTTGGCTGCACATTTTCACCCTTCACCTGTCTGGACTTTGGCTTCTTGCGCTGGTCTGGGAGCGTATCGGTCTTTCCATCCTCACCCACCTGGTTCTCCTCGCTCTTCTTCCCGTCCGTTTTCCCCGCGTACTCCGGCGGCTCACCGGGCGACTCACCGGGCGGCTCTCCGGTCTGCGCCTCACCGCAGGAGGCTTCCTTGTTGTTGTTGTCATCGACCAGGAAGGAGGTAACGCTTCTGTAGGCGATGGGTGAATACACGGCGAGGGTGCGGGGGTAACGCACACCGCCCGCTGCCTTGGGGCTGCTGCCGGGCGTCGTGGAGGGCTCCTGAGTCCGTTTGCGCCGGAAGTCCCGCTTCATGGCCACGAGGGTCCGCGGGCCGATGGAGCACTGCACCGAGGCGTCCCTCTTCGGGTTCACCTGCACCGCCACATCTTTAGTGTTCGCCTTCCTGAGCCTCGGGGTGAGTTTGGGATTGATTTGAGATAAGATGGACTTCAGCTGGGCGCGCTGGTGGTTGTTGAAGGCATCCGAAGTGTCTCCGTAGTGAGACAGGTAACTTTTATATTTCCACCCCGCGTCTTTAGGCCGGGGGTATCTGCCCGTGTAAGGGTTGTAAGACGAATAGAAATAGCTGTCGACTGGCTCGTCACCGTACGTTGCCATTTTGCTCAACCGACCCCGGTTGGTAGGTGTAGCTATTTAAATAGATTGGAAACACGAGCTCTCCATTAGGTCTAATTATGGTCAGGTGTGGCACTGGTTTCTCCCCCCCAAAAAAACAGCAGACACGTGACAAAGGTACACACGTTTTTAGTTTTATTTCTGTACACATTTTATTGTCTTGATACTTGTTTATAATATACACATATTGTACACCGTGTTCACATTGGGTCTGTGGAGCAGACTCCGGCTTGGCACTGCAATGAATGACTGATATGTTTGTCACAGGTCTCGCTCTCTCACGCAGGCGCACACACAGTTTTGAAGCACTTCATTTGGGAGACTAAATGCTGTCATGCTGTGATGGCGTGATCTGCTGATTAATGTTACTGTCACAGGTTGAAGTTAAGCTCGGCTGATGATGAAATGAATTCACAGGGTAACACAGAAGGGTTTTAAAACATTTGATGTTTTTTCATCCCATATTAGACATGAAATGAACATTATCAAAGTGAATGAATGAAGCTTATGACATAAAGTACCGTTTTCTGCAGTCAGGTCAGTGATAAACATTCTGGATTTCCCTGCATAGTCTCACTGTTCTCCAGGTTTTCTTTCTGAATGATGAATCCACCAGCAGGTCTTACTCTGCTCCCCTGCACCTGCTGTGGGGAACTGATTCTTACATTAAACAGGAGTTGGGTCAGGAGGGCAGGGGTCCAACATGATGGTGTTTGGGTCACTCACTGTCACAGCACCATAAGATGAGTCAATGTCCTCATCCTGAAACCTTTGATATGTTATATCCGTGTCCTCGCCGTCCCCCATGGGGTCTGGTTTGTGCAGGACCTTCTTCCTGTACATCTTGTAGGCCAGGATGAAAATGCCAGCCTCGGCTGCTTGGAACAGGGCGTACAACAGAGGGAACATGTACATCCCTCCCATCAGCTGAGGGGGGAAGGCCAGCTTCAGGATGGCAGTGCACAGCTGCACGTTCTGGCATCCCGTCTCCAGAGAGACGGACCTGCAGCAGTTGGGTGGCAGGTCAAAGAGCACGGCCAGCCCGTAGCCTGCAGCATAGCCGCACAGAGGCATCAGGACAGCCACCACGTAGACAGAGGGCGGGATGGTGGACAGGAGCTCCGGCCCCAGCATCGCTCCGGTGAGGATGAACAGAATCACAAGGGTGACCAGCAGAGACCACAGAGATGCCTGGAAAGACAGTATTTCTAAATGAGGGTGATTTTCTGTACATATGCAGCTGTTTTCTACTAGTGGGCAGGGTGGGAATCTTTCTTGCCCTTCCAGAGGCATTTCCTACTTTTTTCCTGTTGAAGAATGGAGATTCTATAGGGATAAAAGAAGGCCATGATTGCACCTTCTGGGGGTAAAGGGGATTTAGAGCTATAATTAAAACTGACTTAAGTTTTTTAAACCCAGGAGCCATCATGGCATCGCTGCTGCCTAACATTACTGTCTATTGTGACTGATGTGGCCCCCCCTCCTGAGTGGCTTTTATCAGAAATGGGAGGGAGGAGCTCTTCCTGACACAGTGGCTCTGATGTCACTGGTCCTGCGTTCAGCATCTGTGAATGGCAAGGAAAATTACGCACTGCGCTTTTGCTAAAGGTGCTCCTTAGCCGAAAGTACTCAGTGTCTAAATACACAAAGTAAAATTATTTTATTCAACGTATCCATTAGTTGGAACCGTAGCTTTGAGAAGTTGCTCTTAAATTACCTTTAAAACAATGTCGGCCACACGCGTGTAGCGGTACCTCAGCATTACTCCTAACCCAATGGGGATGAGAGTGCTGCACAGGGTCAGGATGATGGCCCCGAAGGGCATGAGGTTGACCACAGGTGTGTTGATCCAGGCCCGGCTGTAGATCCACAGACACAGCGGCATCAGCACCAGCGCCAGCATAGTGGAAGATATGGTCATGATGATGCTGGAGAGAGGAGAGCAAAGAGTTACATGAAATGAGTTTGGTCCTTGGTCACAGTGTCGGGTCGTTTTAGTCAAGTTTCGCAACAATATTTAATTAACTTTAGCGACGCATACAGAACTATACAGTCATGCGTAAAGTTTGCAAAAGTCCCCGTTCTTTCAGTGCGTCATTTGCAGAATAATACGCGCGAAACATAGTTTCAACCTTGTGAAACATTTTTACAGGTTGATGATTCACCGCATTATGTTTTTTCTAGAGGAGTACAGTATAACTACCTTAGGTTCATTTCCCCGTGCACCAGTAGAGACATGATATTTGATAAGTTTCCTCCCGGGCAGCAGCCACAGAGGAGAACAGCCATGGCTGCCACATCATCCAGAGAGAAGGCTAAAGCCAACAAAAAGGCCACCAAGGGCATGATAACGAACTGACACAGCAGTGCCAGCAGCACCCCGATGGGTCTGCGGATATGTTCTCCAAGCTGGCTCACGTCCACCGTGCAGCCGAGCCCCAGCATAGTGAAGCAAAGAACAAGTCCCACAAATACATTGATTCCGTGACTGAGCGGGGAATCCCAAAAGGCGGGCATCAGGTGAGGGGATTCCGTCGGTAGGGCGGCCATAAACTCAGCCCCAGTCCTGAATTTGCTGCCCTCAAGGAAGATGGCACTACTGGCCACTAATCCGGCCATGGCAGTTTCCTCCGGAGAAACTTGGTTCAAAGTGTCCGACGCAAGAAAGTCTATCAAGAAAGAATGTTGTGCGTCGCCACCCAACAGGCTGGAGTTCTCCATGGCGCAACAGGAGGACAGAGGCTCGCCACAGTCGGTTTGTGCCTGTCGGTGTTCGTGCGTAAAATGATTCCCCTAGTGGCGCACTGTCACTAATAAGAAAGCGAGGAGGCTCCAGTGGTCGGAGTCTGCACACGGTCTTAAGCTTCAGCGAGAGTGGATGGGCCAATCAATAACGCCCAGGCTGCCCTTTTATACCGCGCTGCGCTCCGTATAAGGAAAAAGGTCCCCAAAATATCAATCTAATTATTCCATATTGACAGTTTTCCATTTGGGAAATTACACGCAGCCCAACAGAGGCTGTCCTGACTCTCATCTGTACAGTGGAATTACAACGGTCATCATTTAGTCACATGAAGCTGCAGTGAAGACAGCTGTTTGTCGAGGTTGAGTAAGCACAGCCTGCATGAATCCAAATTGTGCCGATCTTTATATTAGTGCAGCAAACTGTGAACATCTGCCTGCCGGTCCCTTTTGTTGGAGCCGCTGTTTCTTTTACGCAGTGTGCGCTTTACGCACGAGCCCTCATATGAAACTTTATGGTGCGCAGGTCTCATGTTTGGTTTAACAGATGGTTATTAATGTGAGTCTATAGCTTACCTCCTTCACCTGTTAGATATTATGAAGCTGTCTGCAGCTGGAATTAGCCAGGGTGCTGCAGATCACTGCGGATTTACCTGAAAATGATGACTTAAGTAAAAGGAGCAAATGTATCAACAGTAAAGTGAAGCCTGGTGTCTTTAAGAATCACACTGTATGTTACCGAAGCATTGACCTGTGAGTATATTGTTGCTGAAGCTGGTCCTGATGAGTCTGACTACCATATGTAATATTTTCTGATGTTAAAATAAAGAAAAATATAAAATCAACCTCAGAAAGGCTGTGGAGGAAATATATCAAGTTTCACAAAACACAAATGCCTAATAGTCAGTGACTTAACACCTGCTAATACAGCAGATATTTTGTAAAGTTACTTTACAGCCCTGCAGTTAATGCCTTGCAGACTCCAACAGCCTCTTTTTAATACAGTTTCTACAAACAATCTGTTTAAAAACGTTCTAAGTCAGTCCACCAGTTTCCTAAAACATCATCCCAATATTACTGTCTTCTTATTCTATCTTGTGTAGGTCAGACAACATAAGTGGTATTTGTAAAATGTTGTGCTGCTGTGGCAGTTTGCTCCCCACAATACTGCTTCATATTCAGTAGAGCATCACCTTGCCTGTATTAAGGAACGTTGTTGTTTGGAGGTTTGACTTAACAGTTTCTACTGTGTCTGTGTTTGTGTGTCCACAGCTCACAGAATACGATGGTCAGAGTGAAACTCCCGTACATCAGGGGAGGAAACAGAGTGCCCAGAGAAAATAAATGCACTGACGTCACAAAGCTGAGGTTGGAGTGGGACGGGACAGTTTGCACCAGTCAGTGACTCAGGGTTTCATCTGTCTCCTCCCCCTCCTGGAGACTCACCGTGTCCCCCATTAACCAACGGGTGACTGTAGGTACGTAATGCCACAGCTGTCTGTGTGCAGAATACATAAACTGTCACCTTCCCCTTAAAAGCTGTGAAGTGTACAGACACTTTTTGATGCTCTCACTATAAATAAACTGAAGTTGGCAATTCTTTTGGACATGCATTTCATTACTTAACAGCTAGAAGGTCCCAGCATGACAAAGACAAAGGAAGTACCTATAAATGAGCCTGATTTTATAAATCCTGTAAAAACAAAAAATACTGAGTGAGCATGACGCAGTTTGATCTCTACATGCTGAACTGAAAGATGTGGAATTGACCTACAAGTGCAGCGTTATACCTTCAGTGCTTTTAAATAATGTTGGCTTATTTCCCACAGTTGACATTCATCCACAGACATAACTGAAAAATAATTGACCCTAACAGATTTGGATGTGCCCTTTAGATAAAAACGGTTAGCATCGATGGACCCTTTCATGTTTTTCAATGCTGAGATCCTGTCAAGAAAGCTGGAAAAACCTGAGGGCAGTTTTTCCCTTTATTACACAGGACTGCTTGAGAGAGTGACAGGAAAGGGGAGGAGGAGGGGTGGGGGGGGAGAGATGGCACGCAGCAAAGGTTCACAGGTCGGAGCCAAACCCATGATCGCTGGAGCAAGGACTCAGGACACCCCATGAGGGGCACAGTTTTGAGACTAGGTTGATTTTTCTTTAAGGTTTTATCGTTTCATAGTCGGTACTGATGGCTTTGGTTGTCTCAACATAATCCAAACATTTTATTGTTCTTAAATATGCAGAAAATCCAAAAAATGCAAAGAGAACAACTTTTCAGCTTTTATTTGAAATGTGAATTTACACAGGGAAACTGAATGTCATGTTTGTGGATATAAAAAAAAGTTCAATAACAAAAACTGTCACACAAAAGGTGTGGTATGTCTTTTTGCAACATTCGTTGTAGCTTCCCACTGAATCTGAGCTTCTACAGAGGCACCTCTCTCTTTAATAAATAGTTTCATTTACAGAATGAGTAATTAGTTATAAATATGAAGGCGTATTTTAAACACTTCAAAGCAATTATAAATGTATTGATTCAGTTGCAAAAAAACAGGCAAGCAGATCAACCAAGCAGAGATGCAAAATGGCAAATAATATTGGCAAAACCAGAAATTGGCACAAAATGATAAACAAACAAAACATGATGTTCAAACTCAAGTGAAACTTTAAATTATAGGCACTAGTTTTTATAACACCCACCACACCAATGACCAGAACAGCTTCCCTAACACTGGCACACCATTTGATTTATGTTCATAGCACAAGAGGTAAACGCCAGCAAAACCTTTTCATCTTGTCATCTTATTCAAGACCCTTATTTTTTATTTTTTCGTGGCATGAATGATATACACTGACAGAAATCTGTGTAATGAATCACATCAAAGTTGTCTTGGTTTAATTGGTTGAATGCGTAAACTGGGACAAAAATATGTTTTAGAGTTCATGTTTCTTTCTGAATAGATATAACTAATGTCAACCTGTTCTTAAACTGACCAATCACAGCACTTTAATGGAAAAGTATAATCTTGGCAAACTGTGGTACAAATCAGACCTGAGGCTTTGGCCAGGGCATCATTAATCACCCGGGTGTCTCACGAGTCCTGATTTGACACTTTAAAAGCAATAAAAGGCTTTGGAGAGTTAGCTTGCAGTTGAGGTTCAAAATGTACATTTTAAAGAATTTAAGTCTTAAAACAAAATACTGATATGGATGTTTGGACATAGACTTCTTAAATAATTTGAATAAATAATTTCCAAAACAAACTTGTGCATACATTCTGGCTGATTTTACAAGAGGAAAGATTCTTAAATGTCATACCCACACAGAGGTGCTTTCACTGTTGCAAGACATCCACAATTTTCTAACATTACGGGACATTTCACCTGCACAGCATCATCATAGAGATCGCTCACTTACATCTGTTAAACACAGAGCATAAAGAGAGAAATGTGTGGAAACATTTCAACCTGAGGGAGGTGGAAAAGAACAAGGGAGAGGGTCGGGAGGAAAGCTGGACAATGAAGTGATATGGACCGTCTGACAGATGATTGCAGTCAAACCAAGGCAGGTGATGTGTCCTCTGCTGGCGGAGCTGGAGTCGGGCTGGTTTCTTTGGCATTTTCTGGGCTGTCTGCACTACATGCCTAACCCCTCCAGAGCCGAAGCCCACAGAGAAACACGATGGGAGGTCCTCTCTGACGCGATGTGGACACTATCCTCTCCTTTTTTTAAATTATAGATTTTTGGGACATAGTCTCTCTCTCTCTCTCTTCACTGTAAAAGGTATCTAGGTAGATAAAGTGCCATGTTGTAATGTCTGCCTCCTTGTGTTGATAGTTTGATTGGAGAGCCCCCTGCTGGCCCATTTCAGTAACAACCTTCTCTCCAGTTGTCACCTGCGCCGCCGTAGGTCCGAGGAGCAGGAAGAGATCTGAGAAGGAGATGAGGAAAAAAAAACCTTCAGTTAAAGTTTGTGTACAACAATATCTACCAGTTATCCGTTTACACAAGTGCAAGATGAGGCCACTGTGTGTGTGTGTGTGTGTGTGTGTGTGTGTGTGTGTTGCACATACCTGCGCACAGGCTGGGCCAATTTGCTGCGAGGTAGAGGGATCCCTCCTCCTGCAGAAGAAGCACTGGGGCGGGGCAAGCCACTGCGTGGAGGAGCCAGGGAGCGGGTGGGGGTGGAGGTGGCAGAACCCGGGTTGGATGTGGCCTTTACTGGCTGCCTCAAGGCCAGAGGGGAGGGGGTGGCTGGAGTTCGCAGCTTACTGGGAGAGGGGACTGAAGACAGGCAGAGCAGCAATACAGTCAGGTATAACTGCATTGTGTTAGTCTTTATAGATAATATGCTTTCATAGGTTTCTGTCTGTTAGCAGTTTAACAATGCAGTAATGACCAAGAGCACAATGATGTGAGGTAGATATAATATGCCAAATATCTATCAAACATGGAAACATATTGTTATTTCCTAACCACATCCATCACAAATTCACAAATGAAGTCAAACCTGTTAAAATGCAAGTTTAGAAACTACAAAACTACAACATAAAAAATCTAAATCAAACAGTAAAGTCTAATTCACTCAGCTGCTTACTATGAGTCTAAATGTGTTGACAGAATGAGGTGATACACACACTAGTGAAAACCAGAAGCACATCATAGCACAACAACAATACAACCACGGTGTAGAACCACATTCACAATATTTAAAAAGGCAGAAACCCTCAGTGAATACTCACTGAAATCACCTTCTTCTCCAAAGCAACAGGAGAGTGGGACTAGACAAAGATGAAGACAACAGAGACAGGCCTTAATTCAGAGCTGGGAGGAAGGTACTGAGGAATGGGCTTCAGTGGGGTTTCTCTTACTGCCTTTTGTTTTCTTAACAAACTGTCATGTTGCATAACCTTTGACCATATCAGCAATAATCCTACTTGCCATGTCGCAATAAGCCGTTATGTGTAGAGCAAGTGTTGCAGTGCATAATGATGGGACAGTTACACATGTAATGTAGCCTTTGGTAATTCTGCCACACTGTACAGACACAATGTATAAAGTGTGTCACTGTAACCAATGTGCTTTAACTGTATATACACTTAGCTTCCAGGTTATTAGGAACACCTAGGCAAAACTGATCAAGTACAATTGCTCTAAAGCAGTTTCAGCAAAAACTTAGAACTTTTTTTATATAGGTAGGACTTCAGACTGCATTACTTTTAGTAGGTGTACATAATAAACTGGCAACTGACTGTATAATGTGAACATTTTACATTGTACACAAAGAATTATATGAATCACTTTTTGAGATGTGTTTTTATTAAATGAGGGACATCTAATTATGGAACTCAATATTTCATATATTCTGCCCCTATGTCTGCCTATAAAATATAGAATATATACCGTAAATCAGGGCTGCACGATATGGTAAAAACATCTTATTGGGATTATTTTGACAGATATTGCAATTCATGATTAAGTGGGAATGATTATTTCTGCATCACAAAAATAACATTTTCACACAAAAAAACCCCAAACTATTAAAATCATGATGATGTGAAATTTTGGGGGGTCTGTACCAAACAAACATGTTTTCCTAAATCTGGAGAACAAGATTTGTAGGCCACAGTACAGTACTTCATTATAATGCTGTTTTATCACACATTTACCTTTTATCAGTTCTTGCCATTTCTATATTGCTTCTGCAATTTGCTTGGCCATATTGCGATTTCGATAATATGTTGATTAATTGTGCAGCCCTGTATGTGACATGGTTGACCAAGAGACTAACAATGAACAGCAGTTGGATAACATTAAGTTGGCTATTTTATTTTAAAATATTAGAATAACATGTATTGAGACTAGGAAGTCTATAAAGGTGGATTTGTACTTTGTGAAGACGGTGTGAATGTACTGGAACAAGGACAAAAAGCTCCATGTAATCCACGTTAAGATGTCAGGGATGAACAGATGAATGACGCTTTTCTTTTTATGCAGCCAGGCTTATCTGAGTGACTGATTGTCAACCATGGACCAGCAACAGCACACTGTTTTGACATTTCTGAGACAATATGATCAATTTAATATTTTTACAGAAACAGCTCGACACAGTCCTCACGAGAATCATCGCAACCTTTAAAGTATGAACATTAAATCCTTTCATACCTGTGGGAGTTATAAACTCAAGCTCATCTCTGCCAACAACAACCCTGCTCCACCTCTTTCTTGTTCTTTGTTTCTCTCAAAGAAAGCATCAAAATCAGAGGCTAAAACTGCACTCATAGTTACATCACAGCTGGCAACCAGTGCCAGCTCCATACAATATAGTCTATACCATCAGTGCACAGGCAGCTGCCTTTAGTAAGTCATGAACTGTGCATATATCTGTGTGAGATCGATCTCACAGCCTCCAGCTGGTTTAGGAGCAGGCTGTTACCTCGCAGGGCAGTTGGGCTTTGGAGGTGCTGTTTGGGTTTCGGGGAGGAGCGAGAAGGGGTCGAGTATCTCGGAAGCTGAGCTGCTGCTGGAAAACAGGGACATTTCAGCATGGGAGTCAGACTTCATTGTGCCTGAGATTCACAGAATTACTGGAGAAAAAA